GTTCAAATAATTGTTTAATCTGTTTGACCTTTGGAAAGACTTGACCTGTGCCCATGAAATGCTTTGTGCAGAGAGACTCAGAACAACAGGAAGTCGTGCAGATACATACTGAGATGACTAAACTGTCTGCACGAGAATAGTGTGTGGGTGTAAGGTCTGATTGTCTTGGCTTCAGATTATCAACATTTATCAACATATGAAATTCTAGGATTGACATTATAATCTGCATTAGCAAATATATTTACATGTTTCTTTTAGTATCATATGCATTATAATTGTATCATATGCCTTATAATCTACTTTTGTTTTAACCAGTTCACTTGTCTTTAAGAATATAGGAGACATGTGTAAGGCTGTAAGAGTAGACAGGACAAGGACAAAAAATCCATTCAAACATTCAAGCCTCCAACAGGTGATTCATTTTGAGCAGAGTGCCACTGCAGCATCTTCTCCATTTGGTGTCAGCATACATTCTGTACAACAGCAACACCTATCCTTTGTGAGATGAAACCTAAACAAAACTTAACTGATTACATGCTGAAAAAACTGATTACGCAATAATATATTGCTATCAGTGTCCCGTTGATGGCAGTTGGAGTTAGAGGGGTACAGTTAATGCACTCAGTGTGGTGTTTATTTTGGACTACAGGCCATTCACAGGTTTGATTTACTCAACAGCCCCATCCACACTAAGTAAAAGTAAAATAAAAATCTTAAGAAAATTGATGTAATTGTTGCCAGAGTAAACACCATCTAATTGTTGCATATGATAAACCAAAATCCATATGGCAGCTCAGTACACTGTAAAACTAAAGGACTGTGGATTTGCGTTGTAACAGTTTTGTTGTTGCTGGTGAAGGGTCTTCAGGATTAAAAGCAAGACCGAGATTCCTTTAAGTAAATATATTAATCAAAAATGAAGTGTTTCTTTTCGACATAACTTGGAATGGATGCATTCAAAATGAAAAGTCAACACAGAGAAATGTGATAAGAATATTGATGGTTTAAAACTCTTGAAGTGGTACATCATCTCGGTTTATCTACCAGTCTTTTAAAATATCCTCTAGCTGTGAAAATACTTTTCATTCCAGTCATTGCTTTCCTGTTTTGTAAGAAAGTGACTGAGCTTCAAATAAGAACAGAACAGAGTGGTGGTGCATTCGAGTTAATTAAAACCATGTAAAAATAGACTGGTTGTGTCTATAGTCTGTTAATTGTGCTTCTTAGTCACTTAAAGAAGCAGCACAACTAATTAACCTCCTGAAAGATTAGCTGGGCTGGTGTCGCACTAAAGCTAATTCCAGGCGTGGCTATGCTTCTCAAGAAAGGGAACTCCTCACATGCAAGCTACGTATGTCTCCATACTACGGAGTCAACCATTACTCAGAACATACAATGTCAATCACCGCGAAGCCACACCCCTTAAAGAAGCAAGACCTAACAAACATAGGGTAAGGATATAATTCACAACAGTTGGTGTCATTACTGGTCTCACAGTGAAATACTGACTCACAACGCTCAGTACTCACTGCCAAAGCAACAACCTTATGTCAGTAGTCCCTGTTGACACTTTACAGGACAGAAAAGGACCAGGATCAAGAGAAGTCCATTATGTGAATGTCTCCAACTGGCTGGACTAAAAATGAGACAGGGACTCATGAGTAACAAAGGCTCTGTTACAATAACGCGTCATGCTATTTGGGCCATATGGTTGCAGATTTTGCTGCAGCTAATGGTTATTTACATAATCATTTAAATCCCTGATTTATTTTAAAGATCAACTGAATATCATTGAATATACAGTTTTTGGTCTGTACATTAACAAATGAGCCAGAGCCAGGAATTGTGGGAGGGAAAGTAATGATGGGAAAGATTCCTCTTCAGCTAAAGATGGCAGCTCACTCGTTAGCATCAAAACGGCTAGCTACCTTCACCCACCTATGAAGCTCACAAATTAACATGTTATGTCTTGTTATTTTAATGTTTACAATTGTATAAATTGGGACCTTGAAAACAAGGCCTCAATTTCTTTTAATGCCATGTGCTTTCCTGTGAATCTTTTGGGTTAAAAACAAAGTGAGAAAAAAATGATTTTTTTTAAAAAAGTGGTCAGTAGGCTGCTTTGTTAATCTTACTTTCAAAATGTGTTTTGGTAAATGCATCTCGGGTACCATCTCTCAGACACTATTTTTAATATTTTTCTAATGTTATATAGCATGAGCAGCTGGAGGAAGCAGAGGTTGGGCTACAGAATATAAAACAGGCATGAGTGTGTTCACGTGATTGTTCCGCTCATGCGTTTTAAATCCGCATACTGTCTGATCCTGAATTAATAAAATGTCATCAAATCCAACTCTTCAGCTTCAGGGTCCAAACATCTGACGTTCTTCTATAAGACAAGGAGAGTGATAACATGCTGGTACTGTGCGTGAAATGTATATGGGCTACATTTCTCATATCAGTTTGCTGCTGTATTTGAGCATAAATAAATTCATAGCCATTGTTGATCTGTCAGATATTCAGTCTGCACCGCTTCACCTCTGTAATTAAATAGGGTTGGTTACATAAACAAAAGGGCTTGTTTCCTAATTTGCGTTTTGTTTTTTAAAGTGAAAATTTGAAAGTGAATATGTTTTTTATATTATTATTACATAGCGGATTTGGGCTGAACGGAGAGTACACGGATTGTAAAAGTATGATTTTTGGACATAATTGGGGAACAGTAAAATAAAACAAGTGCAACAATAACACATAACTTTAATTCACAGACGATCACATTATAAACTGTGTAGGATTTCGCTACAATACATTGGCACATGACATATCAATGCTTGACAAACAAAGATGCAGTGAGAGGGGAGGAGGAGAAGGGGGTTTGACAACGACGTTTTACGTTTTCTCTCGATGCCTTCAAATGCCTTCAGCAATATTACAACAGAGGGGATCATTCCTTTACATAATGTTTACGTTAATGCAGTTATGTAAAATAGTAAACCCAAGTGAACAAACAGAAGATAGTGTTTTAAATTACACTTTTAAAAATATATTTCCGACAAAATCTTGTCCCCGCTGGATCGTACTTGTGACAGTCGTTTCACATGTCCGAGCTTACGTGCAGCAGTTTAAGGCAACACCAGTGGGGTTTTGTGCATTGGCGACGTAACACGGATACGTCCTCTTTACTTCAGGCTACAGACGCTTGTATAATAGGAGGTTGTTTTTCCGAGGTTGTTTCGTCTCAACAGAAATAATAATGGAAATGAATGTTTGCAATATCCAGGTGCTTCTTCGGGCTGCCGAGTTTCTGGAGAGAAGAGAACGAGGTAAGTATTTTTGACAACTGCCAGGTTACAAGGGAGGAAGTTGATTAGTTATTGTTAAATCAGCAAAATGCACAATGAAACGACAATAACAATGCGTGCAAAAATAATATAAAGACAGAACATGTCGTAGTTGTTCGAGATATTACGGAGATTGTTTTACTAGAAGGGTGTTTTAGGCGACTTTTCCCATTTGACTCAGTGACCTACATATCGGTTCCATCGTTGTGCTCAAAGGCGCCAAGCTGGAGCAATTTGAAAATGAATCCGAGCGGCGCTGTGCGCCCGCAACGGCGAATAAAAGCGCCACGGAAAAGCTACACTAGACGTTTCATTCATTGTTTACGATCTGTAGACAAAATGTTTACTGTTGGAATGTGTGAGACCGTAAAGCCACTTTTATAACAGTGAACAAGTAGTGTGTGATGGCGCCAAAAGCAAAACGTCCAGCGTTATGTTGAACATTTCAGCTTGAAGGCTACACAGTAATTTATCCCACGACTATGTTGTAACACATCTGTTGCTTGTTTCCTACACAGAGGCAGAACATGGATATGCGTCAGTGTTGCCTGTCACTTCAGGCCACTCTCACAAGAGAAGCAAACAGACCAGCAAAAACATATCTACTGGTGGAAATAGGTAAATACATTACATAACAAACAACTGACAAGAGGGTGTGACTGTCATGTCAGATTTTCAGTTTTGATAAAGCATCCTTTCAATATGAATACCTGTCAATGTTAAGCAGCAGTTATAGTCAGGAACCTGTTTCAGAGCTAAAACAGTCTCTTCCTGTAAATTGCAGGTCAGTTCACAACGAGCTGGAAAAAAACAGGTAATGAATATATGTCACTACAATAAATGACAGAACATTTTCAAAGTTCATAGTTGCATATAGCATATCAGGGTAATAGACACTTTTTATGGTGGCAGTCTTGTCACAGTCTTAAATACGGACGGATCAGCAGCATCAGTTGGTGTTTGTGGTATGTTGTAGACGTGCTCAGCTGAGGCACTGCCTGGAGCAGCTCAAAAAACAAGTCCCATTCTCATCTGACTCGATGAGGAACACCACCCTCAACCTGCTGAGACGAGCCCAACTTCACATAAAGGTAAACAACAGCACCCTAGCATTGCACTGACAGTCCCTTGGTTACAAACCACAGTTTCTGGTTTTGCTCACAGATCTTTCCTTCTGTAATTTCAGAATCAGAATCAGCTTTAATCGCCAAGTATGTCAAGTATACAAGGAATTCCTCTCTGGCACAGAGACTCTCGGTGTGTTTTAGGCAACAGACAATAAAGCTGGTGCAATCAAAGGTAGGGGAGGTGTGTGAGAATGAGGAGAGACAGTGATGGCCCAGGGGAAAAAACTGTTCTTGTGTGTATATACACATTTCGATTGATCAGACTGGTACATGTAGCAGTGCTTTTTACAGATATTGCAGTGCTGCAGTGGTTGCTGAGTCCAGTTGCTTCAGTCACAGTTAACTGTTAATCAGAGTGATGGGGTGGGGGAAGAAACTGTCCTTGTGCCTGGTTGTCTTGGTGCACAGTGCACAGTGTAGCGCCGTTCAGAAGGGAGGATTTCATACAGTTTGTGTCCAGGATGTGAGGGGTCTGCATAAATCTTCTCTGCCCTCCTCTTGACCCCCTTGACTCCTGAGGTGCACATGTCCTCCATGGAGGGCATGCTGGCACCGATGATCTTTTCTGCTGTCGGAACTGTTCTCTGGAGTCTGTTCCAGTCCTGTTTGGTTGCTGATCCAAACCACACAGTAATGGAGGTGCAGAGAACAGACTCGATGATTCCTCTGCAGAACTGTATCAGCACCTCCTGGGGCAGGTTGAACTTCCTGAGCTGGCGCAGGAAGTACATCCTCTGCTGCACCTTCTTGATGATGGAGCTGATGTTGGACATTCACTTCAGGTTCTGGGAGACAGTGGAGCCCCGGAATTTGAAGGACTCCACTGCTGATACAGAGCCGCTGAAGAGGGGGGGGGGCTCCCCCAAAGTCTACTGTCATCTCTGCTGTTTTGAGCGTGTTCAGCTCCAGGCTGTTGCGACTGCACCACACGGCCAGCTGTTCACCCTCCTGTCTGTACACCAGTTCGTCATTCTCACAAAAGCTGATGTATGATGTCACAGTGTCATTGAGTTTTTCCAGGTCTGTAGACGCAGCCTCAAATACACTCCAATCTGTGCAATCAAAGCAGGCCTGTAGCCTTGATTTTACCTGCTCGGTCCATCTCGTCACCGTTTTGACCACAGGTTTCATAGCTTTAAGTTTCTGTCTATAGGTTAGTTTAAGATGGACCATGCAGTGATCAGAGAGTCCAGGGGCTGCGTGGGGGACAGAGCGATAGGCGTCCTTTATTACCATGTAGTAGTGGCTCAAGGTGTTTTTGTCTCTAGTGGGACAACTGACATGCTGTCTGTATTTGGGCAGTTCATGGGTAACCCGGGAGTGTAACAGCGTCATCTGGGGTCGAGTCATTTAGCCACATCTTGACAAAGCACAAGGCTGCCGATCGTGAGAAGTCAGAATTAGTCCTGTCATTAAGAAGCAGTTTGCCCATTTTGTTGGCTAGAGAGCAGAGGTTTGGTGATTGGATAGCCAGGAGCAGCGTTCGGAGGCCCCACTGTTGTAGCTTGACTAGGGCGCTGGCTCGCTTTCCCCTGCGGCTCCTCTTGTAGGTCCTGAGGAGTGCTGCTGCTCGGCCGGCCAAAATGTCCAACAATTTACCCCATCCATAAAGACGAGAGAGAAGGTGTTCAGAGTGAATTGTTGGATGTTCAACAGCTCACCTCTGGTGAAAGTAATCCGAGATGGGTTGCAAGAGACTAACAAAAACAACAACACTAGAGCACATCACTGAGGTGGCCATATGTGGTGCCATGATGTTGACAAAGTTCAATCATTCATTCATTCATTTTCTACCGCTTAGTCCCTGAACGGGGTCACGGGTGGGGCCGGAGCCAATCCCGGCTGGCAATCGGGCGAAGGCGGGGTACACCCTGGACAGGTCGCCAATCCATTGCAGGGCTGACAAAGTTCAATCATTTTCAAGCAAAACCCAAACATTGCCACTGCCATATTTTACAAACCGGAGCCAATCACCAGTTTTAGATATCATTTTTGTTTCCAGTGGCCCAGAATTAGCAAAGATTGATTATTATTGTTTCAGATATATTTTGGTTGTAGACCAGTGCTGTCATGTCTTTGGTGTGCCTAATGTTTGGGTACCGCTCACATGTTTCTCTTTGTGACTTCCAATTTCAGAAGCTGCAGGAGCAGGATAAGCGTGCAGAGCAGTTGAAGGGCCGCCTGCGCTGGGAGCAGAGAGAGCTGCAGGTTCGACTGGAGCAGCTGCAGCGAGGCACAGAGAGGATGAGGAACGACAGTCAAGGGTCAAGCAAGTCGTCCGAGAGGTCAGACTCTGACAGAGGTAGGTCTCTCAGACAGACAAGTGACTCTTACCACTAATCGCTAACAAGCCGTGGCATAGGCCGATGCAGGTAGGGTGCACTTCCGGGTGTTCTGCTTCTGTTATAGTAAGCACAGCTGGAGGACTTTTGTTTTCTGTCACATTGAAACCATTCTCATAATGCATTTTGGTAACTGCTCTTACTTGCTTTCTTGTCACCACTATGAAGCTGAAACCAGCAGAGTCCAGGAAGTTACTGGGAAAAGAAATAGTCCAAAATATCACCGCTCGTTAAAACACAAATGATTCAGCGTGTTAATAATATTTAAAGGGATTGTACAGTGTCTGTTAAGGGAGTGGTATCAATTTTTACATCCCACTCAGTAAAGAAAGCAAAAAAGCCATATTTATCAAATTGTTGAATTATTGTTTAAGTGGAAATTGGAGTGACAGTGATTTCCATCAAAACCACATTCTTGTTATAAAGTAGTTATGCTCTACGTTTTGTCTGCTGTGATGCATAATCATGGAACACATCCTATTAAACATTCACGTGATTGTTTTATATGTAAAATCAGGCTGGTTCTGGGTCTGCTGATAGAAATAATAATGTATATAGTGATAATGTTTCAGTCCTAGTTTAAACCTATGATGCGACAGGTGAATGTTTTCGCATTTCCTTCTGCTCATGGATTTGATCTTTGGTTCCATTACAGAGGACGTGGAGGTTGATGTGGAGAGCATCATGTTTGACTGTGTGGACTCTGGCATACTGAGCATTACACACACTGATGCAGACCACTGTTATTCCAGCGTGGACAAAGCCTGGCTATGACGGTGGCAAACCCGCGGTAACTCAGTTAATGTCAACAGGTGTACAGAAAGAGAAGATATTCCAAAAACAAGCAAAGGACAAAGGAGAAGAGAGAGATGTTACTGTACAACTGAACACTTTTTTTTTTTAACAGGAGTCACTTTTGACATAGTCTTTAAAGTACGACAGGCTGCAACCTAAACCATAATGGTGGGTATGAGTGAGCTCTGTCCATTTGCACTGAATAGCTGTTAAAATCACTGGGCTGGGATGGATGTATCATTAAGCATATGTATTTTCTGGTATCAACCATGAGTGGCATTTTGTTTTCCAAAGCCACGAGATCTGTTCATTCATCTGTAAGGGCTTTTAAAACTCTTATTCTTTGCCACAGTACATCTCTACTGAATTCTGCCTTAAATCAGATTTGGTTTGTTATTCTATACAGCTTCTTCTTAGCACTAAGTTTATATTTCAGTAATGCCATGCGTAGCATGCACTTATACATTAGTCTGTGCTGTTTTGTATTGCCCCTTTGCAAGTTCAGTCACATATGCTATTCTTCTGTTGCACAAAACGCCAACACGTTGCACTTGTTTCGTCTCAAAAAGACTGGGTACGTCAAAATGAACTGGTCATATTTGCACATTAATATCCAGCAATTAACAGTGCCAAATATTAATCTGGTGTATTCTACATGATTCACTCAGTGATTAAGTAAAAGAGAGCATTAGTATTTCTAGTATTAACTGGAGTTTCTGAGAAGTGTTATCGCAGCCATTCGTTTCAGTGCTTGTGCATGTATCAATTGAAGTGTTAATTATGCATGCAATGCATTCACCACTGTCAAGCAGGTAATATCTACTTGTAATGACTACACAACCTGTGCTGTATTACAAGTATGTACTGTACAATATTCATTGCTATATATTTAATAACTGAAGGTGCTTTTTCTCTTCACTTTTGTATATGCAAGATGCCTTATTATCCTCTGTTTGCATTCATCTCTCTGCCCAGTAATATTATGTAGCATTTTTGTACTGGTGTAAGCTTTTTATATGAATAAATATTTTCTATATTTATGTGCTGTTTTTACAGGATCTATTGATGTACAGTGATAAACATCAAATCTTTTCTTTACCATTCTGTTAAGCAACCCCTCAGATTCACCCTGCAACTCCTTGTAGGTGTCCCGTCTCTCAGGCTGGGAACAAAGACATGACAGCATGCTAGTTACAAAGAAACTGTCCATTTATTGACAAGATATTAAATGTGATGGACTAAGTACCAACGAGTTTCATTGGTTCCATCAGGTCTAAGCTGAATGTACAATAAAGGGACTGTGCAATAACAGGAGTGCTAAGGAAGTATTTTTCAGTGGCTGCCAACAATATGGACCCTTCCTCAGTTAGCGAAGTTCAACCTGAATCAGTCAGTCAGTCTTGGTAGATGAAAAAGGAGCAACTGGTTGAACTGAACATGAATTTGCATTAATCGTATATTCCATCGGATACTAACCAAAGCTTCTGAAAGAAGCTGTTCATAATATGAAGTGATTACAGCATAACATGACGTACTCAAAGGAAAAGAGTAAAACAAACACTGAGTAAAAATCTGAGGAACACTATCAAGGCTAGCAGAGCATGTTCATTTTATGGCACCCAGTTCAACTGTTCTTGTATAAGATCTCTATCTCTGGTAAACACTGAGATGAGTTGGTATCAGAGGTATAGTAAATTCAGCGTGATGTGCACAGGGAGGCTGGAACAGGCTCTTGGCTCAGGCTTTTTATGGTCCACCCACCATTTAAGTTAGATGCTCCTTCACAAAGCTGCCTACTCGCGGCTGGGATCAGCTTGTCTCTCCTCGATCTGACTGAATAATGAGAGACGGTAAAGATACATCTGTCCCAGTATCAGTGGCTGCAGAACCTGCGACTCATAGAGTTCATCACACGTATTGTTTCTTCTGGGCGTGTGTGGCCAGGTCTTTGGCTTTCTCCTTAGCGGCCAGTGCGGTCTCTCTCGCCCGCTCTGTCGCCGTTTCTGCTAAGGTTCTTGATGGAGTTTCACCTGGAAATGAAAATAAAATAAAATATTAATCTTACAGGACTTATGGCATCAGCTACCAGGGTTTGGTAGATACACTTAATATATTATTTGTATTTTGCTTTGCCTTTCAATTAGCTTCAACCAAACTACCATAGTGAGTGAAAATGTAAAGATTTCAAATGTTCTGTGAATTTTAAATTCTAATCCATTTAATCAACCCCCAAAACAAACAAACAACAAAAACTCAACATGTTCTGCTTTTTAGATTTTTACACTGCCTCCTTGCAAACTGAAATCACATGGTGTGGCTGAAAACGGAATAGCTCTACTTTAACTGTTTCCAAACTAGTGACTTGCAACAAAGCTACTAATATTTAAACTTTTTCTTTAAAAGTATTAAGTTATACTGCACTTGCAAGATGGAGCTGAAATGTAAAAGTGCACATGAAATGCACTTTTCATCCAAATCTCCAGAGCTTTGACACACAAAAGGCAGTCCCACTGTGCTGACAGCGAAAGCTTCTTTGTATTTAGGATTTGGCTGACGTGTTTGTTTAATGAGCATCATCAATTGTCCTTTAATTTCCCATCAAACATTTATACGTTTTCATCTGCTAACTTACATTTATACGTTTTCATCTGCTAACTTGAATCTTAACAGCCTATCTAGCACCAGCACACTCCTTTTATCGCAGTTGATATTTTGACTTGTTACAACAGCACACACGTTAGGAATAACACTAATGACGCCTTTGTTCCATCAGTCAATGCAATGCACTAATTACTGATGTTATTCCTGTTTGGATCCCATGTGTAGATGTGTGTTTAAACTACATAAATACAGATGAATAACAAGTGAGTAATTTGATGACAATTTACCTTGCAATTTGGCCAGCACATGTTCAAAGCCCTTCATGGTCTTTGTAACACTATTCTTGAACCTCGCAAGACCAAATTCCTGAAGAGAGAAGACATACCGTCAACCAGGACAGAAAAAAAACTCAACAACCTAAAACACATCTTTACTAGCATGTGCTGTCAGAGCAAGGCAACAATAAATAAATAAATCATTCTAATTCTATGTCATAAATTGTTCAGCAACCTAATTCTTGGCAGATGGCTTCAAATGCTCAGCTGCTGCATCTCAACACTGTGCATCATGTTACCAATTGCAGAATGAAAGGCAGGCGAGTGCTCTATGCCACTTTCGCTGAGCTTTTATGCAGTGTGGTGCTCCACTTTACTCTACTGACCTGAATAGCTCTAGACAGCCCATAGACAGTGGAAGAGATCCAAGCTTCTCTTTTTATCTCAGTCCAGCTGCTGTTCTCAGGATTCACTCGGTACTCGCACCGCTCCTCCACCGACTGCAGCAGAGAGTAAAATATGAAGAAAGGCAACAAGAGGCTATGTTTTTACATCAAGCAATACTGAGCACTTATGGAGGCAAATCTTAGGGTACCATGAGGCGAGCGTGGCTTATGTTCCATGTTAGTGTGGTTATGGTCCTTTTCTGAGGGTCCACAATGGAGTCCTCAATGATGTATGCTGAGCTCGCCATGTGCTTTGGAAGGTACCGCTCCATCCACCGAGGCGCTCGGCTAGTTTTGGTTAACAGACGTCTGGAAATGAGGCAGTTGGTTGGCGTAACCTCTCGGAAAATGATGTCCTCCGTCAAAACATGGTTACTGTGGGACGGTAGAATATGCTATGAATATAAAACTCTGTGGGGGGACTGTAACGAATGATACACCTGGCAATTATTTTCTTTAATTAGTCAACATCATTTAGTCTATATAGAAACAGAAAACAGAGGAAATTCCTATTACTCATTCCCAAAGTGACACAAAGCCTCCAATCAACTGTTCAAAAACCAGACATTAATTTTACAACTGAAAAGAAAAAAAACTGCAAATATTTGCATATAAGAAACTAAGAAATAAACTTCCCATCTGCTGCATACCACATCACTGCTGCTGGAGAAACAGCCTACTGACCTTCAGTAGAAGAAGTGTTGAAGTGTCCATTACCTCCCCGCCTCTGCCCCCTGCCCCCCTGGACTGTGACCCACCACAGAACATAAAAAGACTACCTCTGCTGTTTTGCACAAACCAAGTACATTCCCCCTTCTTGTTATATTACATGTAAATCTGCTGCTGACTCTTTTTACATCATATCTGCTGCTGTTGGTCATTTACACTACTGTCCATTTGCATCTCAATCTCACAACCATCTGACAATCTTGTTATTATTTGCACTACTGTCACTGATTGTACATGGTTTGAGTCATAGCCTATTAAGTTGTACCATTTAGTTTTATCATAATCACTGTGATTTAGTTTTCTTATTCTTTTTATTCAATTTTTACTCTACTTTTATTCCATTTTAGTTTCCTAAACGGGATGGTATTCAATATTAGGTGAGAGAGAAACAGTATTTTGATTTTCTGTATGTCCTGCACATATAGTGAATTGACAATAAAAGATTTTGATCTTGAAACCCGTTCTTGAGCCAAAGTAGCAATACAATACTATTAAAGTGCACTATTACAGGTATTCATGTTATTACTTAAGTAGAAGTTCAAAAGTATTAGCATCTCAATGTACTTGAAGTATTAAAACTAAAATCAGGATACTAATTAGCTGACAGAAGGGCCTCTGTCTGAGTGTTAGTATTATTTCTCAAACAATATCTTTTTTCAGTTCATCATAATGTATGTTTTGTATGTAAAATCCTAAGCTTAAACATAACTAGCTGTTAAAATAATGGCTCTCTGTTCCTGCTGCTGTCACCAAGATTAATAAGTTGCAGTGATATTTGTTACCTATTTAGTTATTCTGAGTGATTGCTATTGACATTTCTCCATCTCATTTATGTCCTGATTGGTGGAGCCTTGAGTACTTTTATCGTGGTTTATTGTGTTGTATTATGTCATATTTGTTTGTGCGTTATCTTGCTGCAAAATTACCTACAGGTACAAATAAAGTAACTTCCCTTAAAATGAATACAGTGATGTACAAGTACCTGAAAAACTGTACCTAAGTACACTGCTTGAGTAACAGTCACTTTCCACCACTGCTCAACCTTCTCAGTGTACAAAGCCATAGATTATTTCTACAATGAACTTTGGACAGATAGGTTTAAGCAAGATCAGAGGTAAAGGTGTGTGCATACATGCACTACTCACCTGTATGGGTTGGGATATCGTTGCCAAAAAGCAACACAAACTTGGTCCCAGGTGCTTTTGAGCAAACCTGGGCAGCAGAAATATTTCACCATTGTGCCCTGTTTACTCCGGTAATACCCTGCAGAGGTACAAAACATATGCCATGTTCAAAGATCAGGTCAGACCTGGGAATAGTGGTGACAAATGTCAACAAGCAAGACAAGTAATGCACAAAGAAAAGATTTGTTTAGAAATGTTCAAACACCCGATTTAATTCATTACCGTTAACAGAGAAATACTTTCCCCTAACTTCCCATTTAACATAGCCGCATGACAGCTTTAAGACAAAGACAAAACACCACAGTATTACCTCACAAACACAGCACCGAGTCTCCTGGTATGACAGAGAACGGGCTACGTAACGTACTGAACACAGACTAATGACTATCGATATGTGAGATGCTAACATCAGATAACATTAACTTTCCTGTCCCATTTATCACGTCCGCACTGCTTCCTAGGCTAACGTTGGCTAACGTTAGCTCGAGCTAACGTTAGCCTAGCATGAGAGAACCACACGAATCAATGGTTAACGTGCTATCCAGAAATTTGTTTGACCGAGATTCAGCTAAGCACATTTTTTAGTTAATTTCACAGGCCAGCACGGTTACCTGTATGGCGACACCATTCGAAAAAGAAGTATTTGCGGTTTATACTCCTGTCGGCATGAACTTCACCATTCAGCCACGATAAATCGTGTCAAACGTGACTCGGACCAGAGGGAAGGTCAAACATGTACGGTACATCCGGTATGGGCTGTACATGTAGGACACATCTTGAACAGTAGAGGGCAGCAGGTGACTGCGCACAGCTATGGTGGACGGTCACACACGGCTTTTAGGAGTCTTGTTCCGGTGAAGAATGTTTTTGTGCGTCTCTCTCTCTCTCTGTGTGTGTGTGTGTGTGTGTTTGTCTAAATAACTCAGAGTGCTATCTTTTTATTTAGCCTTTATTTAACCAGGAAGTCTCTTGACATACATTATCTCTTTTGCAAAAGAGACCTGGCCTCGCAAGACATTCTCACAAGAGGGTCAGATAATATCATAGGCCTACATCATACATATCAGTCACACATTACACAGTAAAGCATGATTTATGAAATATAAAAATAAGGCCTAGTCATTTAAAGCAGCTACATTTGCATTCCTCCTGAAGTATTTCTTCGATATGGTATTTGAATATCTTATATGGGGGGTAATGTTTTCAGGTCAAGTTATTCTTGTAGATTATTCCAAGGCCAAGGTGCATAAAGTGAAAATGCTGCTTTTCCAAATTCAGAGCAGACTCTAGGTACACTGCAGGTAATCCATCTGGTTGATATTGTGTGATAGCTACTGGAAGCAAAAGAAAACTTTTCACACAAACATACCCAGAAAGTTTTCCCAAGTATAGCTTTAAAGATAAACAAAGTGTACATCAAATTTTTAGTGAGGTCCACCCACTTAACCTATATAAATTGCAGCAATGAGTTATTGTTCCAGAATTTAAAATAAAACATAAGGAGGAGTGGTAGACAGGGTCAAGCCTGCAAAGTAATGTGTCACCATAGCTCAAGACTGTTAGAAATGTCAAAGAAACAAGATTTTTTCTGAAACATTGTTTAAAACTGAACTAATCTAGGTTTTAATATCTTTACAAGATTATCAATATGGGTTAAGGGTCATCAAAAAAGCCCTGAAAACCAACATTTATTTTCAACTCAAAGGTAATAATAATATTCTGACCATATCATGCGATTTATGAAATACATCCCTTGTAGAATACTAGAATGGAGGATAGGCGTATATCTAAATACTTCTAAATCTAGTCCACAGCTAAATGTTCACACATTAGCCCAAATGCCATGGGTCTAAGCCTGTGTCTGTCTGCTGTAGTTCTGATAGCTTCTACAATAATCTACAGCACATGAAGGAAGAGGGGCTAAACCATGAGACCAGTAATATGTGTGTGTGTGTGTGTGTGTGTGTGTGTGTGTGTGTGTGTGTGTGTGTGTATGAATGACACTGCGTTGGCTACATTTGTGTAGCTACTTATTCATTAAATCTTTTATTGGCTGGAGTCTGGACCCTGTCAATCTTTTATTGTTCAACATGTCTGAAAGTTTATGGCTAACTATAATAAACCTCACTTTTGAAATAAAAATTCTAATTTCTCTCTATATAGACAGCATTGAAACATATAGATGGGTTTCCAGCTGTCAGGTTCAGAGTTAAAGTGTATCTGTCCTGTAAGGAGGAAACAAGCACCACAACACACAACGTGTCAGACAGGATCTGACAGACATTTATCTTACTCCTGCCTTACTTCAGTTCACTTACTAAAACCAAGGTATCTTTATTGGACATGGAGACACAAACCATAATTTTTTTTTAGTGGCAAATTAAGTCAGGGATTTGTGTGTACAGTGGGGGCTCACTATATGTGCCCAGAGGCCCTGTGGTTGATTAATCTTTCTGTGCTCATTATTAAACGGCCACCAACAAAGGACACTTTAGCAGCTGAGTGTAATTAATACAGAATCACACATTCATCTTCTCTCTCCCCCTCCCTCCAAAAAAAAAAGCAGCCCACATTCTGCTCAGAACTTGTTGCTCGCAGTTCAATGGTTTTCAGTCCTGTTCCGTTGGACACCGCATCCTGCTAATCAGGAGCAGCTGGTTGCCAGGTGAACATGATTAACTTCCTGGTTGGGCAAAAAAATCAGCGGTTACCTCCTCTGGATGTCTTGGACAAAAATCAAATGTTACTCAGCTTGACCATTGTAAGTCATCCAAACACAGCATTTGAATTACTTAAAAATCACTTAAATGTTCCAACAGCCAGCAAATGAAAAAACAAATATGAAAAAAATTTAACTTGTTCTCCCATCACAATATTCACTGTTTTCCTTTCAGTAAGTACAAACACATTATTAGCCTCAGACAGGCGATATATGCAATTCATGATTAATTGCACAATTAAGTGAACATTACTTAAGAACGCTGCATTTACAAGAAACACATTATACACTATAACAAGTTAATTAAAACCCCAGTAAATATCTTAAACACATTTAATGTATTTTCACTAGTACCATTCACAAAGGAAAGATAAATAAAGTGACTGGCATGCAAAGCTTTGAGCCTTCTCCAGTGACACATATCAGACCATTCAAGTCAAAAGGCTACTTCTGAGCCACAAACACCACAAACAAGAGGTGCGTGTAATGTGCAATCATATTTCATATTCTGTTAATCTCATACAGCAGTGGGGGGTTGTCCACCGTTACGACCATTCAGAGTCAGCCCTCTTAGAGAGCGTGTCCGGAATGAGCACTCAGGGTGGAAAGAATCTGGCTTATCCTCACAGCGGAAGACCATGACGAAGCCGTTCCTGTAGTTTTTATTCATCCACCCATACAGGAGAGGGTTGGTAAACGTCGAACACATAGCCACAACATGGAACACTGTGTATATCAGTTTGTACTCCTTTAACCTGAGCACCAGGTCCAGATCACTGGCCAGCTGAAACATGTGGAACGGCAGCCAGCAGATCGCAAACACCACTACTACCAGGGCCAGCATCTTGGTAGTCTTTTTTCGGCGAATGATGCTGTCATTACGACTGGATGGGCTGACATGATTCTTCAGTTTGACCCAGATGCAGATGTAGGCATAGCTAATGATAGCTAAAGGAATAATGTATTGAAGGAGCAGCATTGAGAGGCTGTAGATGACTCCGTCTCTGCTGGTCCCATGGGGCCACTTCTCAGAGCAGACAGCAATGCGCAGGTTGATGGAAGGGATCTCTTCATGGCGGTACTCTCTGAAGATGGCCAAGGGGGCTGCCAAGACAGCAGACATAGTCCAGATGAATGCCATGATGAAGAAGCTGGATTGCCATGTGATGCGTTGACCAAGGTGGAAGACAATGCAGCGGTAACGCTCCAGAGCGATGACAGTCAGGGAAAGAATGGATACATGCACGCTCAGGGCCTGCGCAAAGGGCACCATGTGACACAAAACAGCCCCAAACTTCCACTCATCTAGCAGAGTGTAGACCAGAGTGAAGGGCAGGCAGAGAGCGTTCACCAGGAGGTCTGCCAGAGCCAGGTTAGCTATGAAGAAATTGGTCACTGTTCGCATGTTTCTGTAGCGAATAATCATGTAGATGACGAGAGTATTCCCAAGCAGCCCCAGCAGAATGATTAGGGAGTAAGCTGCTATCAAAGTGATCTGGACTCCGAGGTGCTTGGTGATGTCTGTGTGGAAATCAGGCTGATGTAAACCCATACTACTGTCATTTAATAGAATCCAGGGGTCGGTTTCACCAGCCTCCTCTATTCCTGTGCTGTTGGATATGTCTGGTGGGCTCATTATATCAACACTGTGCCAATACCTGATGACAGAAAACACTTAAGATAAAATAATCATTTGGGAAAGGCCAGGCAGAATGTTATTCATACAAGCTATGAAAAGAAATGACAAAGAAATTCATTGCAACCAAAGGTGCAGATTTAATTGAAATTTTTCACCCTGATTTAGAATTCCCAACACTTCTGCTCTGCATTTTTTGGCCACTGCTTCCTCCCCTGTGGGATACAGATGGTATCTCCAGCCACTTGTCTTCATTTTAATTCTAATTTTAATCCACTAAACTAAATACACATTTTAATGAAATCTATTGGCGGCCGGGCGCACCCTTAGAGATAGGGTGAGGAGCTCGGTCACCCGGGAGGAACTCAGAGTAGAACCGCTGCTCCTCCACATCGAGAGGAGCCAGCTGAGGTGGCTCGGGCATCTCTTTCGGATGCCTCCTGGGCGCCTTCCTAGGGAGGTGTTCCGGGCATGTCCCACCAGGAGGAGGGGAGAGAGGGAAGTCTGGGCATCTTTGCTTAGACTGCTGCCCCCGCGACCCGGTCCCGGATAAGTGGAGGAAAATGGATGGATGGATGGATGTTTCATTAATCTCTAAATATCACATTGAAAGGACTGTTTGCATTGTAAATGTCATACTGTGATTAAACTATTTATATTTAATCAGGGAGTGAGGAAATAGTGTAATTTAGAAGAGTTTTCTAAAGCATGTGGCAAAGTTATTAGAACAATTGCCCAAGATTGCAGTGAGGAAAGGGATGTTCTGAAAAGCTACCAAAATTAAAAATGCATTCCAGTAACATATCAATAGGAAATCAGCTCTCTTTGTACACCCAACCCACCACCACCACAGACCATATCTCTACCTCGAGGTGTTTAAACTAAAAATTGCATTGGTCTAGGCACAAGTATTTATTTAGTTACAGCATGCAGTATTTCAGAAGAACATGAAGACTTGTGCTATTATAAAGATGAAAGGAAAATGATGGAGAAAACAATGTGATCAAGAGGAGTCAGCCAGTTGAAAGCTACATCATTAGTGCTGCAGCTTTCATACACAGTCTATATCTCATGAAGTTTGTATTGTGTGGTATACCTAATTAGACTGGTGCTGTGATGAATACAGTAGTTCAGTAAAAAAAAAAAAACAACCTTTCCTTTTTATTAAACTGGCCGTAGTTTATTATCTTGTCATGTTTGTCAGTCTGAGGCTGAGAGTTCCTGCTGTATGCAGAAAAACCATTTGGGATATTTGAAAACCATATTGTCAGTGTTAACTTTAAAATAACAACTAAGTCTCTGGATCTACAGATGAATCTTAGATACATTAAGTGACATTACACTCAAAAAGAGGTGTTCAGTGAATCCAAAATACTGTGATTTTAAAAGATTAAGTTTTGTTAAAATGATTTTAAGGATTAGAACTTGGACACATTTGTATTTGTTTGTGTGCCAACAGGTCTGAATTATCTTGGCACAAAAATATGGAGTAAACGTTATTTTGTGACATTGTACCACTTTATTGTCATATTATCTATAACATTGTCATCTCTGCAGCTGGGTAGACGCTGATGTGTCTCTATATGTTGTGCATTTTCCAGACATTAAAGGTGTCGATAAAGCCCATGGCTTCCTTTAGATGTTAAGTACATCATAATGTCAGGTGTTACAAAGATACACAATACACACACACAATACACGCACGCACACGCACGCACAAGCATCATAAGCCATAAAATGACTTGCAGGATAACTCTGAATCTATTGAGACCGCTGACAACGTGGTCATGGCAGCTTAAGTGCTGCACTGCCAATAAACCAAATTACATGTACAGCCTGCCTGTGTACCCTCAGTATGTCAGTATGTACAGTACAGTATGGATGTATGAGGCAGGCTGCAGGCGACATATACACTTGACAAAGCACCAATAATTTGTCAAAACACTCTTTTATGGTCAGCGATGGTAAACTTTGACTCGAATACACGCTTGTACCATTGCCGAATCGGTTACGCACACCTGCTGGAACAGAACGCTACAATACAGACGGATTGTACTGAACTCTATAGCACTACCATTCAATTATTATGATAAACTTCCCATTTAATTATGCACTAATGCTCCGTTCTTGCGTAATTTGTCGCCATTTGATTAATTTACTAAATAGTGCGCATTCAAATGTCTCCAAGAAAGCTTTCAAAGCTTTCTCACCCGATTAGACAGGTGCAAACCGTTTGCCTCCAATACAAGCAGAGTCCTGTGATACATCATTTGGACACTTGTTCATCCTTCTTTTCAAATGAGTATCTCATGTCCAAATTACGCGCATACAGTATGATAGTTTCAGTAGGTTATGGTGTCGCAAAAGAACAGAAAAATGGTCACCATGCACCTCATGAATACATCTTTGTCACAAAACTAGCTTCGCAATATTTATTTAAGGTCTAAATGAACGCTTTCCATATATTAATGGACTCACCTTTCCCCATATATCTCCGTTTGCAAACGGGTCTTCACTTCAGACTGGCATGAAACAAGGGGGAAAATACCGAAGCTCCTCCCAGGCTGTACCGCCTGGTGCGCATCTGGTGGCTCGACTGTGGGTTCCTGAAGCAGGTCTACGAGAGCCAATGCGAGCACCCACATCAGCTCCAGACGGCGGCTGGGAAATCTGGGCAGGAATTGCGCTTTGACATTTTAAAGTGCGGCGTCTATGTTACTTCATTTTCACTGCATAAAGACGTTTAATAAAATCCCACATTGTGTTCTTTAATTGACAGCGCAGCCTGGCACTGATTTTATTACATTTTGCAATTTTATTGTCATTTATTTGTCACTTTATTTCCAGTAAGGCTTTCCACTGTATTACTTGAAACCTGATGTTATTATTCATGAGTAGAATCTTGAATTTACAATTAAGGGTTGTAAAACCTATCCAATAATATTGCTTTATGTGAGGCTCCGGGTCACATAGTGATCTAACGTCGGCAATTAGATAAAAAGCATTAACGCTGCACTGCATGCAATGCAATGCAATGCCAAACTGTTGTGCAACAAGCCATTGTTAGTTACCTGCTCCAAATCCTAAGATATACTGAGCTGGATGGCCTTCAGCCTCAAGGCTGATTATTTATATATTGACAAAATTGTACAGTATCTCTAAGAAAAATTAAAAGCAAAGTAAAATAAAACTATGTATTTACCTCTCAAAACGCACTGAAAATGCTTAAGCAAAAATTACCTTGAAGTAAATGAGTCTTGAAAAATACTGTAATGAGAAGAATTTGCCATTTTAGCCCCTTGAAATGATTCCAGACTTGTAGATTGTTAATAGCAGATGCCCCGGGAAGGTTCTGAAGCACGGTCATGTGAAATTAGAAATCTACAAAGGAGCTTTAGCTGCTGCAAGAATGTTTGGTGATTTGGATAACCAAACAGAAGATCATGTCTCCCCTGAGCTTTGTTTGTGCACTTCCCTGGACCTGCTAAGAGTTGCTTTTCACTAGCCCATCCCAGATTTGTTTATTACTTAGAGCAAGATTGTATGAGGTGCCCGAATCCTGTTGGTGGGATTTTATTTGATGATACAATAATTGGTGCACTGATTACTCAGCAACAAAAACTACCCTTACTGACTGGGGTATGCTGCCTCTTTGGCTCAATTTAATTTTTCAGCTATTAGAGCCATCCTCCAGCCTCCACATGCACTGGGTTACTCAGCAGTCACAGGTGGCAGATTGACTTGCATTCATCACTGATAAGGGATTTGTGCTGTTGTTATGAACATGCTTATCTCCAACAGGTTCTGAAAAGTGATGAAAAAAAGCTTTGTTTTACTACTACCACACATCTTTGCGCAGTGAGATGCTCCAATCTTACCTCCTGATGTATATTTTTCTTTTTAAGACAAGGTCAATGCACTTACAAAAGCAAAACCGATGTGTGCCTAATCTTGTATCTCTGATAATGTTTTATGTCTACACACACACATGCAGACACGTTTGTTTTCATTGCTTGACTTTATCCCTCTACCTACATTCATCAGCCTACACACACACACATGCACACATGGTTGTTTTCATTCCTTGACTTTATTCCTCAACCTACATTCATCAGCCTACACACACGCACACATTGTACTGTATATAGGCTATATCAGCTGATCAGCCATAACATTATGACCACCTGCCTAATACTGTGTCACAGAAGTCAATGCAACAGTTGGTTGGTGCTGGTGTCACTCCGCAGCTCACTGTGCATCTTCTGTGAATCTGTTTGCTTCCATAGTTTTACTGTCAGGAAGGACACAAATGTGTCCACCATTCAGTGAAAAACTTGTGTAAAAGGAGTGAAAACTGTGGTCATGAGGACAAGTCATAGATAGATAGATAGATAGATAGATGGTAATATGGTAAAGGGGTTGCAATTATATAGTGCTTTTCTACCTTACCTGGACAAAGTGCTTTACAGATTCACCCACTCATCCATTCACTCACACAATGATGGCAGCAGAGCTGCCAATAGGAGCAACTCTAGTCAGGATCTGAGTTATTTTCTTTTTCTCTCATGGCTTTGGCTTAGAGGCGACAATGCTTGAATCAGAAGGTCAGTGTCACAAACTGGGGGTGTTTGTGGTATGCAGGGGTAAATCTTGAAATTTTTTAACAGGGTTGCCAGGTTGGGGCACAGAATCAGAGAGTGGTGGCACATTTGAAAAACATGTACAAAATAAATAAACCCATAGTTATATGAGATAATAGAGCATACATTATTAAGAATCAAACTGTAAAAATGAGACACACAGTGGTTTCTTTAGCTAACTTTGGCTGTGATCCTTATTTACTCCTGGCTGGGGACATCACTGCTGCGCAGTGCACAAAAAAAAATGCGCAATGCATAAAATAAAACTAATTTGACCAATAATAATTATAAAGCACCAGAAAAAATGTTAGTTGTATTTAAGGCAACAATATGTTATTGCTTTTCATTTTTAAAGCATTAATACTAAGAAGACTGAGAATGTACTTGGTAGGGAGGACATTATTGAGTTACATAATGGGATCCAGTGTTTTGAGGGTTTGACCTGCACTTGAGAATAAAAGCCAGGACATCTCAGCTTCTCCTGTACTGATTTTGTTAGTGCAATACTAAATTTCTGAACTGGCCCTTTAAGTCACATTCTAATGAAAGGATTTAGTTTTTCTTCACCAGAAGTATATTCTTGAAACGTATTGGGGAAATGGCCTTTCATTGTGACAATATTTTCAGGATCATGCACAAATAAAATTTAACTGAACAGATAAATAAAGTTTTAATCTATATAAATAATATAAATATAGAATTATGATGGCTATTTCCTTAGGGGCTAGTTTTGGGGGGATTGATTTTTTAAATCCTGGGTGCTGCCCTGCTTGTGGTAAGATATGATGAAGGAAGTAAAAACTGCTTAATCACGGCTTGCAGTGCAGAAATGTAGTTCTTCAATGCAGTGCCTTTACAAAGTGAAACATAAAATGTATTAAGCAGAGAAAAGAGCAATTAGGTTAACTGACTGAGGCAAGTACCCACAGAAAGCCCCGTTTGAGTCACGTGGGCCAATTAGAAGTGGCCGCAGTCAGCACATGCGCAGTACACGTGCAAGTGTTGTCCCATAATAGCTGCGAGCTCAGCATATTTGCTGCAGTGACTGCATATTTCTCCAACCAACAGGTGACGTAAATCTATTAAAGTGCTACCTTAACGTTTAATATTGTCATCGTAGTAAAGTTTTAGGTTGGTTTTGTTTATGTTACTGAAACAGGCCGAGTGCTATACGAGGCGCTAGCGGGCTTCAAGTAGTGTAAAACCAAACCAAACATCTGACCGAGCGTTGTTTTCACATTACAAATCACAAGCCAGTTTACAGAGTTCCCGTGGTGTATAATTTGATTTATATCCCCGGGCACTTAATAATGTTTACACTAGAACTGGTTGTCGTTTAAGCTTCAGGTTGGTGCTCAGTATACTCTAAAGAGCTAAGGGGAAGAGTGCCCCAATTTGTTAAGCGAGGGAAGGCGCGCGACCCCACTGCTGGATCCAGATTTAGACAGTGATTATGTAAGTCTCGCGATGAACAGCACAGAGTTGTTGCTCTATAGATTGTACTTTATTTCAGCCAAGTTAAAATTCTCGCCGCAAACTGTCTTAAGAACAGAAACTGTGTGCTCATTTTCCTCAAGGCTTTTGTTTTCACTCCCTCGGTGTCTCCAGATCCTGCAGAAGAGTCAGCCATGGCTGCTGCCCTTGTTGCCACATCCACCACCAAAGGCAGCCTGAGAGAGGACCTGACATGTGCCATATGCTGTGACTTGTTCCGGGAACCTGTCATGTTGGCCTGTATGCACCACTTCTGCAAAACATGCATCTCTAGGTACTGGAGAGGAACCCATGGGCCTGTAACCTGCCCACAGTGCAGGAGGGAGTTCAGCTCCAAGCAGTTTCAGACCAACTACCTAGTGGCTGCCATGGTTGAGAAGGTCAGGGCCACCACCTCGGACACTTGCATTCAGAACCTCCAGGTGAGGTCACACTTTCAGGTCTCACTTCCATTGCATATTTAACCATGGTCTTGTTGGCCGCCTTCCACATCTTTCATTCTTGGTCACACCTATAAAGTGTTTTGAATGTATGGCTTTCTTATGCTCCAAAGTAAACCGATCGATTAAAAATGAGCAACCCTTGACCTTTACAAGTCGAACAATAGTACACTAGTAGTCTGTATTGCAGTTTACATTAGTTTTTATTTCACTGTAGTTCCACCCTGAACATATCTGGCTGGAACCGCTCAGGCCAGAGTTCACTTCCCACTCCCTTTTATATTACTTTCCATGACAGGATATATGACTTAACTGCAGCAGGGGGCTAATACACACAGAAAGGTCAGACAAATAACACCTCTGAATTTTAGATTGCAAATAACACAAAATTTCTACAATAAATATTTAATAATTTAAAAATTTATTCTTTAAAAATTAACAATATGCAGTTGTATTACTGTGCCTCTCATACTGTGCCAGAGGTGTTTATTCAAGTATGTGGTTGTTTTGTTTTAACATTTTGGGAAGTACATTTACTGTCTTGCTGATTTACATGAGTAGACTACCATTCTTTTCAGTAACTATAATGTCCAAGCCGGCAGCCATTTAGCGTAGCTTAGCATAATGACCGTAAACGGGGGAACAGCTAGCTTGGCACCAACCAAACCTAATAAAAACCACCCATGACACCACTGAACTGATGTTGTGCCAGACCATTTCTTGGCCGGGGGTGGTGACTTCCTGCAGTCTGCTGGTTACCTGGCAACCTCATGTTGATGACACGAGTTTAGGAAAGTGAAAAAGCCTACCTAGTAAAATGTTGAGCTGTTCCCTTTAGACTAGTTTATGCTGCTTTTGTACTAGATTGCATCATATTAGAAACACATTGTTGTTTCTCTGGTCATTCTGTATTTGCACTTTCTCAGTTATTCATGAGTTCCTTGATTCTCTGAAACTCTGTAGATGTAGTTTCTGTTCCCACATTGATTTGACTGGCATGTTGCCGTACAGAAACAACTGAGAGAGACTTTGGAGGGCCATCGCCTTAGGAGGGACGACTACATCAGCAGTATTCACCGAGACAAAGACAAGATGGATACCATAAAGGTATACTCCTCTGCGCATCTCAAGGGATGGCAGCACTTAACAGATAAGAATGCACACGTCTCTCCGTAATGGCTGTTTGCAGTATATTGCTGTGCGTACTTATGCTGTTTGCAGATGTGGTAAGTGGCAGTTTGTGCTTTGATATGTTAAACATAATGGTTGTGTGCTTGGGTGCGTGAACGCCTTTCTAACCTCTGACTTAGCCGTGTGTCAACTATGCAGAGGAAATCCTTTTTCCTATACGGTCTCATTTGACATGACAAGGATTCTGCTATATTCGTATAAGCAGAAAGACCTGATGACAAGCCCACACATGCACAGTCAGAGGTGACAGAAACAAAAACGCATCTAATGTGTTTGAGCCAGGTGGAAGATATGAGCTTGAGTCTAGTTGTCCATACTGTGATGAGATGTAGAACAGGAAATCCTTTTGTTTTTGAACAGTCTGTAGTTGTAGCTGAAACATAGACACTACTTGTGCAAAAGCTATTTAATGGAACAAGCTACTTGGTATCTTAGCTAAGTCTTTACAATTTCTAACCAGTCGTTGAAAAGTGTGGTACTAACTAGAAAGCACCACATTATTTACTCTACCTGTATTGTCAATTCAATCGTCCCTGCTGCAGAGAGTCGGAGCAGATCTCCATGCTCATGTCAAAGGTGAATTCAGAGCACTCCATCAGATCCTGCACGATGAGGAGACCTGTATGCTGGAACAGATGAGGAGAGAGCAGCAGGAGGAGTTGGAGGAAATCCAGCGCCACCTGGAGGCCACTCAGGCAGCCGTGAGGGAGCTTGAGGAGAACATGAGAGCGCTACAGCAGGCTAGTGCTCCCACTGAGAACATGGTGCTGACTGAGGTGAGGTTTCAGCTCAAATAAAAAGGTTCATTGCTGACCTGAGTTTGTCTGAAATGTTAATGTCTTAAGTTGTGAACATGTAGGTCGCATTGGAATTTTACACAAAACCCAGCATGTTGTTGAATTTGGCACAAGTTTGTAACAACGGTCGATAATGTGATTTTCTTTTCTCCATTTCCTTCCCTCTAGCTCCCACAGCTAAGGTAAGTGTTAATGTCAGTGTAATGATTAATTTATTGCTTTTGGCATTTCTGCCTCCATTCAGTATCACTTGCACTGAGAATAATGATCCTAACTGAATGTATGTTTGCTTTGTTCCCAACAGGCCACTTGTGCTGGTGGATCGTGCCCCAGAGTTTGATATAAATGCTTTCATCAACAAATACATGGCTCCATTACAGTATATCACATGGAGAAAGATGTTCAAGTCATTGAAGCCTGGTAATTATTCACTAGACGCAAAAATATTTGAGCTAAAAACCGGATCTGCCTCAACAATGTGATTTACTATGGAAAAACTGTTAGGATTATATAAATATTGAAGTAGTAACAGAAAGACAGTGATGAATTCTCCTACAGAAAACATTTTCACTGCTATCTTTTAATTAATTATGTCACCCCAAAGGTCCTGCCCCATTAACGTTTGATGTCGAGACAGCGCACCCAAGCATTAGCATTTCCAGTGACAAGACCATGGCGGTCGAATGTGACAACATGACATCACATACGGAAAACGACAAGCGTTTCCTTCAGTGTGTTAATGTTCTGGCTGCTCAGGGCTTCCAGTCAGGCCGACACTATTGGGAAGTAGAAGTGGGCTCCAAACCCAAGTGGGACATAGGTGTGGCTTCTGAGGCTGTCAACAGGCATTCACGGATCAAGCTGAGCCCCGACAGCGGCTTCTGGACGCTGCGGCTGCGAAATGGGAATGAGTACTCGGCCGGCACCCAGCCCTGGACCGGGCTGCAGCTCAGCTCTTCCCCACAGAGAGTCGGGGTCTTCTTAGACTGCGAGGAGAGGAGGGTGTCCTTCTACAATGCCGACGATATGAGTCTGCTCTACTTGTTCACCAACGGGCCGATGGGCAAGGTGTACCCCTTCTTCAGCCCGTGCATTAGTGGCAGCAGCCAGAAGCCTCAGCCCATCAAACTCCTCCACTACCCTCCTGTTGCTCTGTCTGACTAACCTGACTGCAGTCAATCAGAGCTCTTCAGCATGTCCATTCACCTACTGACCAAAGGCTGTTAGAACTCAACTAGTAAAAGACAGCGCTGACATTGTTGCACTGTCATATCACAAGAGTTGAAAAGTTCAGTCAGTTCTTGTTTTCCAGTCCATCATGTGTGTATATCACTAGATGTTTCTATGTTCAATCTGAGATGAACCTTAAAAGCTTTGGAATATTATGAAAATCACCCTCCCGATCATTTTTTTAAAAATTCCATTGTACTATAATCGCTCTGAAGAGGCTCGTTCACTTTGCAATCAGGAGACAAAGAACCACTTCTCAGCCATTTTTGGTTGAGTAGTGTTCAGCACAGAAGCATCAAATTACATTTTAGGATACACTGGTTCTACACTGTGCATCCATATATCTATAATAGATGTAGATAGTTGACCTTTCAAATGATAATCTGAATAATCATCTCATCAAGTCAGACTGTCTGTAGGCTCACATGTAAAAGGGATTTTTAGGGACCATTGAGTTTAATCAATATGAAGGAATCATGCAGTTTTGTCTGAGATTTTCTATTTGATTAAAAGGTTTTTATATTTTAGGAGTTGCAAATTAAACTTTTCCTGTTCACTTTTATTTTAGATGCCTGCTCTCATTCCATGTAACTTCACAGCACCTTATGAGTGCTCTGACTTGTAGCAGCTCCTATTGATTACATTCATTTATAGACATTTATCTGCATGCGCCTAAATTTGAACCTGTGGTATAATGGGCTCAATTGTTAATGTGTTATGGCTCAAGGAAATACTAAAATGTTGACTGGTTTAGTCTGAAATATATGTCGCACGGTTGTCATTGCATGTTGATTACAATTTAAACATTTCTGGATATAAACCTGTACTGTTACTGTGAAAATGCTGAACAAATAATAAACCAAGTATCATTTTCTTTACTAAACTCTCAGGCTCCTTTTTGCAGCTGTGACACTGTGTACTTCCACAGCCTCATGTGAAATAATCAAGGATGTTATTAAGCATCATCAAAGCAGAATACACAATAATGAATGCTGTGGTTGATGAGTCACTAACAAGAGTGACGGCGGCGGGTGGTTGGCTCTCCTGCACCTGGACGGGAACTTTTGAATACATGAGCCATCTCTGACAGTTACACAGAAAAACTAGATGGGCTCTCGGTTATCTCTACAAACACAAGAGCACTGATGTCCTGTTTCCTCCTGCCAGGTGAAAGGTCAGATAAACAGGGCAACCTCTTGGCTGCTCGACAGGCTCCGGGGGCATGCTGGAGCAGGATGCTCCTGCCTCCGCTGCTGATTGGAGAGGTGACACAATGAGCTGTACCAGAAGGGGACCCTGTAGCTTTTCCTGCCACATGGGGATGGGTGCGTTAACAATGCAAGTGTCACTCACTTTGACCTGAAAATGCAGATTACAATCAACTCAAATCTACTGAGTTTAATAGAGCCTCAGCAATGAAAATGAAGAGGTTATGAGGAAATCTATTTATGTCCAAATATTACAGTTTTATCTGCATTATATTGTTGCTCATGTTAGAATTTGAAAGTATTCAGACCCTTTTATGATTGTTTTAACATGACACTAAGATTATAGTACTTTGTTGAAGCCCCTTTGGCTGCAAGTACAGCTTTGATTCTTAAGTCTCTACAAGCTTTGCACACCTGAATTTGGGCATTTATCCCATTCTTCCTGGCGGATCCTCTCACACTCTGTCATGTTGGATGGGGAGGTCAGGTCGCTCCACATATGTTCTGTGGGGTTTAAGTCTGGACTTTGTCTGGGCTCCTCAAGGGCAGTCAAAGACTGAGAGTGTGTTGCCTTGTCTGTAGGCTTCAGGCTGTTGTTTTGCTGAAAGGTGAACAGTCTCAGGTCCTTTTTGAATGGATTTTCCTCAAGGCACTTTCTTGGCTGCATTCATCCTTCCCTCAATTCACCTCCAACCATACTTCACCATAGAGAAGGTATTAGCAGACGATGATTAATGCCTGGTGCTTTGAGTTCTTCTCAAAGGGTTCAGTTTTGAGTCATCAGACCAGAGAACCCTTTTTCTTTAAATGCTGTTTTTCAAAGTCCAAGCAGCTGTCACGTGTCTTTTGTGTCTTCTGTCTGGCCAGTCAACATTAAGGTCTGGTTGATGGGGAGCCGCTGAAATGGTAGTCCTTTCGGCAGGTTCTCTCATCTCTGCAGAGGATTTATGAAGCTCTGTTTAGAATGACTGCTCAGTTCTTTGTCACCTCCCTGACCAAGGCCCTTCCTCCCCACTCGCTCAGTCTGGCTGGGCGGGGAACTCGAGGAAGAGTCCTAGTGGCTCCACATTACTTTCATTTAACAATTACTGAGGCCACTGTGCTCGCGGGAGCACTCTGAGCTTTAGAAGTGGTTTTATACCCTTGCCATGATCTATGCCTCACCACAGTTTTATTGTCTGACTCAGACTGCAGAAAGCTCCTTGGACTTGATGCCTTAGGTTTTGTCCTGACATGCAATGTGAATTGTGGGACTTTATCTTTCTAAGCTATGTCCAGTCAAGCAAACAGGATGCACCTGACCACAGTGTGGTGAGCCACCTCAGGGTATAAATACTGCTGCAAATGAGAGGTTTCAGTGTTTAGTTTTAATAAATTTGCTCAAATTTATTTTAAAAAGTTTCCACATTGTCACTGTGGGTTATACAGTGTAGACTGATGACCAAAATTACAATTTTATTCAATTAAGTCTACTACAAAGTGATGGGGTCTGACTACTTTGCTATTGCATGTATTATTATTTTTTATATTGTAATGAAATTAAATTAAATATCCCTTTTTGTGGTAAGTAGCTACATTAGCTGAGGTACTGATGTAAGAAAAAAAAACAGTGTTAATATTTTATTTTAACAATAAGAAAAGGACCTGCTGTAATATGAAATTTGTTGCTCATAGTGAAGAAGAGAGAGAAGAGTTATCACTTGACTGCAGTTCCCCTCAACTCTGTGGAGCTTTTCATCATCTTTCAAGTGATGATTTTAGGTTTCAAACACTTCTTACACATCTTTCAAGCTGTACCGATGAATATTATTTTCTTTAGAATTATTTAAAAAATGTCTCAGTGACATGACTCATTAGCTTTCTTTATATCAGCAGACAGCTGTTTCCAGGGCAAAGGCTCTAATAAATCCACATGTTCTGCCCCAAACAGCAGACAAAGTTAATGGGTTTGTGAACAAAGTGGAGCATTTAACAGCTAAAGAAGTAAAATGGACCTAAAGGAAATGTTAATGTTTCTTCGTAGCTTGAGGTGTAAATAGCAAACTCTTTGCTAACACATTTGGTATCAACTTTATAAAGTGATAATATATGAGTGTTGTGTTTACTGTTTAAAGCAGGTTTGAATAGACATAAGATCCTGTTCTAGTTAAATGAAAAGACTTCAACTCCAGGTACCATTTGCTCTGAGCTGCAAGGGGACACCATCACAGAGGAATTTATTCAGACTGCACGCCACTCAATAACTGATTGAGTAAATAATTTATATGAGATCAGTGCTGCTCCTTCTACTATTCAGAGGCACAGCTATAATCACTGACTGATAGCGAACATGACCTACAACTGATGACAAATCATGGCTGCCACAATCAAAACAAAACAAAACAGCCCTCTTGAACAGTGATGACTGCTTCAAAGTGGCTTGTCAGAGTGCAGTGGACTGTGCATGGGCTCATGGGCATGACTTCAATGAGAGAGCTGGACTGCATGCTTGCTCCACATCCTTCCTATGATAGTAGCTTTGGACCTGTAATGTGTTTCCTGACCTGAGGATGGGCCGGATAAAGTGCTGACACTTCAAGGACAAGTCCTTGAGTCCTCAGTTTTCTCACGGGAGTCAGTGAGATTATAAACTCAGACCTTTTCATCTGACACAGCAGCGGCAATAATGTTATCCTGCATAAGGGCTATTGTTTGTTATCACTGTTGCATACAATTTATTATTATATTGGCAGCTCAAGTGTTTTCATGCGTTTATGATATTATCTGTTTTATATTCGTAATGAGATTTGGTAACTCCCCGGTCAAAGCTTTGTCAGACTGTCAACACGATTTACTGTGTTTATTTTCCTCTTAAGCCAAGAACGCGGCAGGGGAACATTTTAATTACAACCATTCAATCACAACATTGTGTTTTAGGGTCAAAAATGTGGATTGCCCTAAGGAATCTGGGGGGAAAAAGCATGCCCAGAATAACATGGAGTGATCTTTTGACTCCATGTTATTCCACAAAGTCTTGATGTTAGCTTTTTCATAGCTCAGAAATCAGTGAGAATAGCAACACAATCATATTGAGAAAAAAATATTATACATATATATACTGTATGTATATATGTATGTCCACCGCTGCTGTTTGATGGCTGAATTGGTTTTCAAATGTTCTGAAGGCACAGGTAGGAAGGAGTCTGGAGTCAGCCAGCATTACTGTTGCTGTAATGGATGTCCAAGTGAGCTACAGTGTGCTATAGATTTGATTTGACTTCCCAGCACACTCCTGGTGCTGAAAATTGGGGTTATCTGGGATTGATTATACTGGTCTGAGTGGGCCTGCTGGTTCCTTTGTGGCTCCACAAGAGGTTTGACTGGGCCTAGAAGCTGCAGCTACATCAGATGGTTAATGAGTGAAATGTGCCCGTGCCAGATACTCTGTGTGTGTATGTGAGCACTTATATAGCTATACATTGTGAAGACCAGTTTGAATTTTAGCAAGGATGTTTAGGAAAAGTGAGTACATTCTGGCCATTGCTTACTGTCTGAAACACCTTCAGAGACAGCTGAGACTTGGCTTTAGGGTTAGGCATCCAGTTGTGATGGTTAAGCTACAGGCTAAGGAATTCATTATGTACAATCAGCTGAAAAATCTTATGTGCGCTTCATCATCAAAGTGCCCACTTCTTGTACTATCTTTGATTTTTTTTTAATGGTGCATGGGTTTTCATTCTTTAAAATCCCTCCCTGTAAAATACATCGGGACTTTGGTCATGTTGTGCTCTTAGTATGTGAATTTCATCGACATTCTGAGGACTCCCTGAAGGGGAGGAATGTCAGGGTGGAGGGGGCTGGGAAGGGTGCATGTAGAACTCTGGTCTGGAGGCATCTTTACATCTGACCCTTTGTGAGAATTATTACAAACTCTTAATAGAGAGCTATTCCCATGACTCCTCAGCTCAGATTTGCCTGGAAAAAATGTGTCCATAAGCACAAATGATTAATTTTTTTTACCTGAAATTAATGACAAACATCTGGCCTGAACATATCAAAATTACACTAGAGGCATGACTAGTAATTGAGAAACCCCATATTTTAACTGGCATAATACAGACATTAAAGCGCCCATGGCACCTTCTTTTCCAGCCATTTAATGTTTAATCTTGGGTACTACCTGACATGTTCAAGTCAGAATATGAAAGTGGGCAGCACGACAAACTGCTATAGTATTAATTAACTTGAACTTCTCTTCCATAGATAGGTAAACAATGGTATATGTACCGATGAAAAGAGATGTGTAACACTAAACAAAGCAAGTAATTGAGAAACCCCATATTTTAACTGGCATAATACAGACATAGTAACTTCTCCAGCCTTACAACAATTCTCTCTACAAAAACAAGGCATTAACAACATGCAACATGTGTTTTTTTTTAACTTACTGTTAAGTCCCGCCAAGTAGTAGAAACATCACTCCCTTTCAAGTAGCTCCAAGGTCAGTAAATCCAACCAGTGGTCGCTGGCCTCAACAGGCAAAACAAACAGGTACTCTGCTCCAGGGGAATCCAGGGATGATTAGCTCATCACTAAGCGTCACAGGGCACTTCACTGGCTGGTTGCTTGTAGGTTAGACCTGGTCAGGTAAAACAACAAGTCCCTGTACAGGAATATTCCTGGACATGCA